AGACAAATTGAGAAAAAAATATCCAGAAAATCACATTGTAGGATTTTTAATGAATTTATTTGCAAATTATGGTGGAAAATAAGTATTTGGTCAATAACAAAAGTTTCTCAATACTTTGTTATATACCCTTTGTTGGCAATGACACAGGTCAAACGTTTTCTGTAAGTCTTCACAAGGTTTTCACACACTGTTGCTGGTATTTTGGCCCATTTCTCCATGCAGATCTCCTCTAGAGCAGTGATGTTTTGGGGCTGTCGCTGGGCAACACAGACTTTCAACTCCCTCCAAAGATTTTCTATGGGGTTGAGATCTGGAGACTGGCTAGGCCACTCCAGGACCTTGAAATGCTTCTTACGAAGCCACTCCTTCGTTGCCCAGGCGGTGTGTTTGGGATCATTGTCATGCTGAAAGACCCAGCCACGTTTCATCTTCTATGCCCTTGCTGATGGAAGGAGGTTTTCACTCAAAATCTCACGATACATGGCCCCATTCATTCTTTCCTTTACACGGATCAGTCATCCTGGTCCCTTTGCAGAAAAACAGCCCCCAAAGCATGATGTTTCCACCCCCATGCTTCACAGTAGGTATGGTGTTCTTTGGATGCAACTCAGCATTCTTTGTCCTCCAAACACGACGAGTTGAGTTTTTACCAAAAAGTTCTATTTTGGTTTCATCTGACCATATGACATTCTCCCAATCCTCTTCTGGATCATCCAAATGCACTCTAGCAAACTTCAGACGGGCCTGGACATGTACTGGTTTAAGCAGGGGGACACGTCTTGCACTGCAGGATTTGAGTCCCTGGCGGCGTAGTGTGTTACTGATGGTAGGCTTTGTTACTTTGGTCCCAGCTCTCTGCAGGTCATTCACTAGGTCCCCCCGTGTGGTTCTGGGATTTTTGCTCACCGTTCTTGTGATCATTTTGACCCCACGGGGTGAGATCTTGCGTGGAGCCCCAGATCAAGGGAGATTATCAGTGGTCTTGTATGTCTTCCATTTCCTAATAATTGCTCCCACAGTTGATTTCTTCAAACCAAGCTGCTTACCTATTGCAGATTCAGTCTTCCCAGCCTGGTGCAGGTCTACAATTTTGTTTCTGGTGTCCTTTGACAGCTCTTTGGTCTTGGCCATAGTGGAGTTTGGAGTGTGACTGTTTGAGGTTGTGGACAGGTGTCTTTTATACTGATAACAAGTTCAAACAGGTGCCATTAATACAGGTAACGAGTGGAGGACAGAGGAGCCTCTTAAAGAAGAAGTCACAGGTCTATGAGAGCCAGAAATCTTGCTTGTTTGTAGGTGACCAAATACTTATTTTCCACCATAATTTGCAAATAAATTCATTAACAATCCTACAATGTGATTTTCTGGAAAAAAAATTCTCAATTTGTCTGTCATATTTGACGTGTACCTATGATGAAAATTACAGGTCTCTCTCATCTTTTTAAGTGGGAGAACTTGCACAATTGGTGGCTGGTACTCCTGAGTGGCGCAGTGGTCTAAGGCACTGCATCGCAGTGCTAACTGTGCCACTAGAGATCCTGGTTCGAATCCAGGCTCTGTCGCAGCCGCGACCGGGAGACTCATGGGCGGCGCACAATCGGCCCAGCGTTGTCCAGGGTAGGGGAGGGAATGGCCGGCAGGGATGTAGCTCAGTTGATAGAGCATGGCGTTTGCAACAGTATAAAAAAAAAATATATATATATATAAAATAAAATAAAAGGTATTCATTAACTGTAAGTCGCTCTGGATAAGAGCGTCTGCTAAATGACTAAAATGTAAATGACTAAATTCTTTTTTCCCCCACTGTATGCAGTGAGTCCGTAGCTCTCTTGAAAAGTGCCAATGTTAAGTGCCATTATGACACCAGGCATAGTAAATCCGATCAGACGTATCCCATGAACACGGAGGTGAGAACAAACAAGATTAACCAACTCAAATCCCAATATGAGAGGTCCAGCAAAGTCCTTGTCAATTCCCTGACAGCCCAACAACGTGCAATGGAGTGTTCACTGAGGATAGCTTAGGTTTTGGGGAAACACAAAAAAACATTTTCAGATGGTGAGTTTGTAAAAGGATGCATGTGTGAAGTTGCTGACACCTTCCTTGAAGGTAAACAAAAATATGAGCTCAGGGAAAAGATCTAACAGATCCCACTGTCAGATTCACAGCAATGAGGAGAACTGAAATGTTAGCTGAAGATTTAACTTCACAACTTGATGAGGTCATTCAGAATGCACCATGCATTTCATTAGCTGTGGATGAATCAACAGATAACACTGATAATGCCAAGCTTCTGGTGTTTGTCAGATTTTATAACGAAACAAAGAAGGAATTCTGTGAGGAGCTGTTGGGCTTAACAAATCTAGAAGCACACACAGGGAGGGGATATCCATGAGGCCATCAAAGGGATGCTGACAAAACTGGGGATAGATCTGAAGTCAGTGGTCTCCATCACCACAGATAGAGCTCCAGCCATGATAGGAAGAGGGAGGGGACTGGTTGCATGTTTGAAAGAGGACCACCCTGACCTGACATCATATCACTGCATCATCCATCAATCTGTCCTGTGTGCCAGTCTGGGAAAATAGTATTCTGAGGTCATGACAACGATGATGAAACTGATCACCTTTTTGAGAGCAACATCATCCTTAAAACACCACCTGCTATGAGGCATTCTGACAGAGGCCAATGCCAGTTTTGATGACTTACTACTGCACAACAATGTCAGATGGCTCAGCAAAAGTAGGGTTTTGGAACGCTTTTGGGCCATTCAGGAGGAAATCAAAGCTTTCTTATCAGAGCAAAAGAGTGACAAGGCAACTCAGTTTTCTGAGCTTTTGGAAGATGAGGAGAAGATGGAAACAGTTGCATTTTTGACAGACATTACATCACACCTTAATCAACTGAATGTTAAGCTGCAGGGACGGGACAACACAGTGCATGCGTGATATGATAACAGCAGTCTGGGCTTTCCAGAAGAAATTGGAGCTTTTCAAGAATGATCTCCAGGGAGAAATTGTCCACTTCCCCAATCTTGCTAATCCTGCTAATGAGCATGGCGTGTGCTAACGTACGCCATGCCTATAATCCTGCTAATGAGCATGGCATGTGCTAACGTACGCTAGGCCTATAATCCAGCTCATGAGCGTAGCGTGTGCTAACTGATGCTAGGCCTATAATCCTGCTAATGAGCGTGGTGTGTGCTAACGGACGCTAGGCCTATAATCCTGCTAATGAGCGTGGCGTGTGCTAACGGACGCTAGGCCTATAATCCTGCTAATGAGTGTGGCGTGTGCTAACGGACGCTAGGCCTATAATCCTGCTAATGAGCGTGGCGTGTGCTAACGGACGCTAGGCCTATAATCCTGCTAATGAGTGTGGCGTGTGCTAACGGACGCTAGGCCTATAATCCTGCTAATGAGTGTGGCGTTTGCTAATGGACGCTAGGCCGTCTGGCTGGCCTCTCTCTGGACAGTCCAGCATTTATGAGGTCTGATTACATTCTGCCCAATTTATTAATGCCCCTTAAATACGGATGTGACTGGGAGGAATTACGCCGAATCGACAACTGATGTGGGTAGCATTTTGAAGCCAACCGGTGTAATGCATTATGATATAGTTATAATGCATTGTACTGGAAGATTGTCATAAGTGATCCATATTGATCCTGACTAAATAACTTGTTATTTTAAAAATGTCTGCATTGAAATACATACCAATTTGCAATGCAGGTATACTTGAAAGTTAATGTTGCACTTACAGAACACATGTTATGGTTTCATTCCTAGTATGGGACTTCATAACCTTGGATCGTATTACGGAATGGATCCGTCTGCAGTTAACCATTTCAGAGCTGGCCCAGTGAAACAGTCCCATGAAGGGAACTCTCACTCCCAGCTATCCAAGGACTCTGATCCAATGGTCCTTTTATAGCTTTTGGAGCTGCAGCGATGGATGCAATGGAATTGCTCCAGAATCAATCAACTAGAATGCCCCGGAAGCTTGCCTCACACTGCTCCGTTTCATTGTGATTAGACTCTTTTAGTGCCGTGATTTAAGATGATAACCTAACCTATCAGATATAAATTGCAGTCAAGGTTTTCTAGTTTCAACATACGGGGAAAGCCATTGCGATTGGGTCGTGCTTTCGATGTATAATTTCTACATCAGCCAAAAAAATCCCTGGTAAATGTAGTTTAGCTCAGCGGCTAACTGCTAATACGGTGAAATGGTTGTTCAATGAGCGGATGCGTTTTATTCATTTCGCTCGCTCGTTAGTGGGATGGAATCCAGATGAGACAATTACTGTCTGAACTCAAACACACAGTCCTATTATGCCCAGTAGAGCTGACAAAAATGACTCACTAGAAAAAAATGTTGAAAAGTGGGTACATGTTAGAATGAGAGGCACGTAATCGAGAGAGAAAACAGACAAGGGCAGAAATTCCAGTTTAGAATAACCATATAATTAGTTATAGCATACAAAATATTCTGTAGCCTACAGCAATGCCGAGTTTGGTTATACAGTGTTTTGGCAACGACAGCAATATATATCTACACAGAGATTTGTTAAGGGCTTTTAGGCAAGAAGCAACGTCTTCTTAGCTACAGTGTTACTGTACTGCACAGCAGAAGAAATCCAAAAGAAGCATAATTTCTCTAGATACAGTATGATCTGAAAGCCAACATTCACAGTAATAAGACTCTTGGTTACCACACACTCAAGTCATCAACATCCAAACTAGCTCACCTATGGCTTTAAACTTTAATACATGACAATGACAGCAGGCATTCATATCTGGAAATCCGGGGAAGCTCCAACCCTAAGTCATAATACTTATCTGCAGTGAGCTACCTCTTTCACAGTAAGCTACAAGTCTATTTAGTTACTTCTCTTTGTATTTTACCAATGTGGTAATGCTGCGCTATTGCCAAACAAACTCAGGCTGAATAAAAGCAGTTGCTCCCTCGACTCCCATTGGGTTCTATGTCTTCTTCTCTTAGCTACTGCAGGTGGTCTCCTGGTGAACGGAGGCTGAGGCTGATCCTCGGTCAGTTCCTGGGGCGCTGCTGGTGGTAGAGGGGTCACTGGAGCAGTATTTTGTCTGCAGGGAGCGGCCCACGTAGCTCCAGTACTCCCTCCGGATGGTGTCCTTCTCCTGGGCCAGGAGCTCACAGAGCTGGGGGGAGAACAGGAGGATAGAGAGAGACAGAGGGAGAGGGTTAGAGTTATAGCAAGATTAAAGGGTTGAAGGGGCAAGGCACGAGAGATGGACCGAGTGAACTAGGGATCCATTTACGCAACACAGCAGAAAGAACTGATGTGGTAAGATAATGCTGTGTGGGGTGTAACCAGAATGTTAACTTTGTTGCTCATAAATGCCAATTCTCCGGTTTTTTTGCACTGCCTTGCAACCTATGTGTTTTTAACCTTGTGCTGATTTGCTAACACTTGCTTGTTAAAGCTTTTGATAAATACGACTGGAATGTATTTATAAATGCCTGGAATATTTCAATTTTTGAGAATCTCTTATACAACGGGTTAAAGTTATGTATAATAACCCTAGGTGTAAAATATTAAATAATGGCTACTTCTCAAAGTATTAAACTGTCAACAAATCGGCATATCTATTTATTATGGCTATCGAAATGTTAGCTATTAGAATCAGATACAACAATAATATCAAGGGGCTAGAAATCCAGGGCTTAAAAACAAAGGTGTCATTGTACGCTGATGATTCATGTATTTTTTTAAATCCACAAATGTGGATCCCTCCACAGCCTCATAGAGGATCTAGATACTTTTTCTAACCTCTCTCGATTACAACCAAATTATGATAAGTATTACTTATCCACTTACCACTAAAAAAATAACTTTTACATTACCGTGTGTTTACCAATAAAATGGTCTGACTGTGATGTGGACATACTCGGTATTCATATCCTGAAAGAAAGAAATGATCTCACTACAGTACATTTTAATAGAAAGTTAGCAAAACCAGAAAAGATCTTACTACCATGGAAAGGAAAATACCTATTTGTGGAAAAATCCCCCTGATTAACTCTTTAGCCATATCTCAGTTTACCTATTTGCTTATGGCCTTGCCTACACCTAGCGACTTGTTTTTTAAATTATATGAGCAAAAAAAATACTCATTTTTATTTGGAACGGCAAGCCAGACAAAATTAAACAGGCCTATTTATATAATGAATATGAATTCGGAGGGCAGAAATGATTAAATATTAAATCATTAGACCTCTCACTAAAGGCTTCAGTCATACGAAAGTTATACTTAAATCCGAACTGGTTCTATAGCAGATTAGTAAGAATGTCTCACCCCTTGAACAAGAATGGACGTTTTCCCTTTATTCTGAATACAACCTCTCACTTTCAGTTATTTTAAATATTGCTTTAAAAAAAATAAAAAAGTTGGTTGCAATTTCAATTTAATCCACCAGAAAAGACAGAACAAAAAATAGAAAAAATTATGGTTAAACGCAAATATACTATTTGATGAAAAAAACATTATTTTTGGAATAAAATAAAACGTATAATCTTTTAAAATTATATCATAAATAGGACTGGTGGAGTTGTCACACATGCAGCTAACAAAAACATATGGAAATGTCTGCTCTTACAAAAATTACAACCAACTAATTGCAGCATTACCACAAAAATGGAAGAGGCAAGTGAAGGGGGTTAAAGTAAGGAACTTGTCGTCGGCTCTGCATTAAAGATCAAAATTGGTTAAAGAAAATTGTGATAAATAAAAAAGTATATCAGTGCCATATAGATTGCAAAATAGCTGTGAAGCTAATTCATGAAGCTGTGAAGCTAATTTTATATATGTTATACAGTGCATTTGGAAAGTATTCAGACTCCTTGACTTTTTCCACTTTGTTACATTACAGACTTATTCTAAAATGGATTAAATTGTTCATCCATCTACACACAATACCCCATAATGACAAAGCAAAAACAGGTTTAGAAATGTTGGCAAATTAATAAAGAAAAAAAATGAAATATGACATTGACATAAGTATTCAGACCCTTTACTCAGTCCTTTGTTGAAGCACCTTTGGCAGGAATTACAGCCTCGAGTCTTCTTGGGTATGACGCTACAAGCTTGGCACACCTGTATTTGGGGAGTTTCTCCCATTCTTCTCTGCAGATCTTCTCAAGCTCTGTCAGGTTGGATGGGGAGCGTCTCTGCACAGCTATTTTCAGGTCTCTCCAGAGATGTTAGATCGGGTTCAAGTCCGGGCTCTGGCTGGGCCACTCAAGGACATTCAGAGACTTGTCCTGAAGCCATGTTGTCCTTTTGAAAGGTGAACCTTCGCCCCAGTCTGATGTCCTGAGCGCTCTGGAGCAGGTTTTCATCAACAATGTTTCTGTACTTTGCTCCGTTCATCTTTCCCTCGATCCTGACTAGTCTCCCAGTCCCTGCCTCTGAAAAACATCCCCACAGCATGATGCTGCCACCATCATGCTTCACCGTAGGGATGGTGCCAGGTTTCCTCCAGACATGACGCTTGGCATTCAGGCCAAAGAGTTAAATCTTGGTTTCATCAGACCAGAGATGATGTCATGTGCAGTCCGCTTGTAGTTACCTTATTTACATAAGTATTCAGATCCTTTGCTATGAGACTAGAAATTGAGCTTGGGTGCATCCTGTTTCCATTGATCATCCTTGAGAGGTTTCTACAACTTGATTGGAGTCCACCTGTGGTAAATTCAATTGATTGGACATGATTTGGAAAGGCAGACACCTGTCTATATAAGGTCCCATAGTTGACAGTACATGTCTGATTGATGAGGGGAAAAAAACGACTTAATCCATTTTAGAATAAGGCTGTAACATAACAAAATGTGGAAAAAGTCAAGGGGTCTGAATACTTTCCGAATGCACTCTATCTACACTACCGGTCAGCCATTCCTATGGGGAAAGAAAATGGTTTTGGGATAAAACGTCGAAAATAAGGTCTGAGGTTTACACAGGCTTAGGAGATCTTATACGTTTTGTTATATAAAGATCAAATCAGTCAGCTTACATGACCTTTATGAATTATGAAGGAAATGTGTTTTTTAAAATTATTACAGTACCGGTCAAAAGTTTGGACACCTACTCATTCAAGGGTTTTTCTTTATTTTTACTATTTTCTACATTGTAGAATAATAGTGAAGACATCCAAACTATGGAATAACACATGGAATCATGTAGTAACCAAAAACGTGTTAAACAAATCAAAATATATTTTATATTTGAGATTCTTCAAATAGCCACCCTTTGCCTTGATGACAGCTTTGCACACTCTTGGTATTCTCTCAACCAACTTCACCTGGAATGCTTTTCCAACAGTCTTAAAGGAGTTCCCACATATGCTGAGCACTTGTTGGCTGCTTTTCCTTCACTCTGCGGTCCGACTCATCCCAAACGATCTCAATTTGGTTGAGGTCGGGGGATTGTGGAGGCCAGGTCATCTGATGCAGCACTCCATCACTCCCCTTCTTGGTAAAATAGCCTTTACACAGCCTGGAGGTGTGTTGGATCATTGTCCTGTTGAAAAACAAATGACAGTCCCACTAAGCCCAAACCAGATGGGATAGCGTATCGCTGCATAATGCTGTGGTAGCCATGCTGGTTAAGTGTGCCTTGAATTCTAAATAAAATCACAGACAGTGTCACCAGCAAAGCACCCCCACACCATAACACCTCCATGCTTTACGGTGGGAAATACACATCCGTTCACTCACACCGCGTCTCACAAAGACACGGCAGTTGGAACCAAAAATCTCAAATTTGGACTCCAGACCAAAGGACACATTTCCACCGGTCTAATGTCAATTGCTCGTGTTTCTTGGGCCAAGCAAGTCTCTTCTTCTTATTGGTGTCCTTCAGTAGTGGTTTCTTTGCAGCAATTCGACCATGAAGGCCTGATTCACACAGTCTCCTCTGAACAGTTGATGTTGAGATGTGGCTGTTACTTGAACTCTGTGAAGCATTTATTTGGGCTGCAATTTCTAAGGCTGGTAACTCTAATGCACTTCTCCTCTGCAGCAGAGGTAACTCTGGGTCTTCCATTCCTATGGCGGTCCTCATGAGAGCCAGTTTCATCATAGCGCATGGTGGTTTTTGCGACTGCACTTGAAGAAACTTTCAAAGTTCTTGAATTTTCCGTATTGACTAACCTTCATGTCTAAAATTAATGTTGGACTTTCTCTTTGCTTATTTGAGCTGTTCTTGCCATAATATGGACTTGGTCTTTCACCAAATAGGGCTATTTTCTGTATACCCCCCTACCATGTCACAATACAACTGATTGCCTCAAACGCATTAAGAAGGAAAGGAATTCCACAAATTAACTTTTAAGAAGCCACACCTGTTAATTGAAATGCATTCCAGGTGACTACCTAATGAAGCTGGTTGAGATAATGCCAAGAGTGTGCAAAGCAAGGCAAAGGTTGGCTATTTGAAGAATCTCAAATATAAAATATATTTTGATTTGTTTAACACTTTTTTGGTTACTACATGATTCCATGTGTTATTTCATAGTTTTGATGTCTTCACTATTATTCTACAAAGTAGAAAATAGTAAAAATAAACAAAAACCCTTGAATGATTAGGTGTTCTAAAACTTTTGACCGCTAGTGTATCTACAAAAATAATATATGGGGGATTGGAAATGATGCAGACAATTACATTGATGGAAACTACAATCTACAGTATTGCAATATTAAAGGTGATCTACCCCCTATAAAAACAAAAATGTAAATAAAAAAACACTTGCTTGTTTGCGTATGTGCAAATCAAATTACCTGGTCATTATGTATATTCTATCCATTACCACCGCTAACACAGCCATGGTAGGAGTACTGCTAGTGAATTAGTAGGCTAGTGGCTACTCAACATACAGGTAACTGCCAAAATTAAGGAAACACCAACATAAATTGTCTTAATAGGGCGTTGGGCCACCACGAGCCAGAACAGCTTCAATGCACCTTGGCATAGATTCTACAAGTGTGTGGAACTCTATTGGAGGGATGCGACACCATTCTTCCACGAGAAATTCCATCATTTGGTGTTTTGTTGACGGTGGTGACAAACGCTCTCAGGCGCCTCTCCAGAATCTCCCATAAATGTTCAATTGGGTTGAGATCTGGTGACTGAAATGGCCATGGCATTTGGTTTACATAGTTTTCATGCTCATCAAACCATTCAGTGACCACTCGTGCCCTGTGGATGGGAGCACTGTCATCCTATATGTCCAAAATAATGGCCTGCCCAGCATTCTTATACATGACCCTTAGCATGATGGGATGCTAATTGCTTAATTAACTCAGAAACCACACCTGTGTGGAAGCACCTGCTTTCAATATACTTTGTATCCCTCATTTACTCAAATGTTTCCATTATTTTGGCATTTACCTGTACATTTACACCTCCCACGGTTGCACTAGCATTGAGAAACATCAATTCTTTAAGTAAATAGAGGAAAAATACAAATCACATTCTCAACAACCAATTGAAAGCAATCCCTTCCTGCTGCATGCATTTCCGAGTAGCCGAAACTGAAATAAGTATCAGAGCTCCTGCAGTGACTTTTCTGAATGAGCCAATGCCCATTGAAAACAGCAGCAGAAGAAGAAAAACACTTTCCAAGAAACCTAAATAACTCCGACACACACACCCAAGCATTTACAGTGAGGGAAAAAAGTATTTGATCCCCTGCTGATTTTTTACGTTTGCCCACTGACAAAGACATGATCAGTCTATAATTTTAATGGTAGGTTTATTTGAACAGTGAGGGACAGAATAACAACAAAAAAATCCAGAAAAACGCATGTCAAAAATGTTATAAATTGATTTGCATTTTAATGAGGGAAATAAGTATTTTACCCCCTCTCAATCAGAAAGATTTCTGGCTCCCAGGTGTCTTTTATACAGGTAATGAGCTGAGATTAGGAGCACACTCTTAAAGGGAGTGCTCCTAATCTCAGCTTGTTACCTGTATAAAAGACACCTGTCCACAGAAGCAATCAAACTCTCCACCATGGCCAAGACCAAAGAGCTCACCAAGCATGTCAGGGACAAGATTGTAGACCTAGACAAGGCTGGAATGGGCTACAAGACCATCGCCAAGCAGCTTGGTGAGAAGGTGACAACAGTTGGTGCGATTATTCGCAAATGGAAGAAACACAAAATAACTATCAATCTCCCTCGGCCTGGGGCTCCATGCAAGATCTCACCTCGTGGAGTTGCAATGATCATGAGAAGGGTGAGGAATCAGCCCAGAACTACACGGGAGGATCTTGTCAATGATCTCAAGGCAACTGGGACCATAGTCACCAAGAAAACAATTGGTAACACACTACACCGTGAAGGACTGAAATCCTGCAGCGCCCGCAAGGTCCCTCTGTTCAAGAAAGCACATATACAGGACCGTCTGAAGTTTGCCAATGAACATCTGAATGATTCAGAGGAGAACTGGGTGAAAGTGTTGTGGTCAGATGAGACCAAAATGGAGCTCTTTGGCATCAACTCAACTCGCCGTGTTTGGAGGAGGAGGAATGCTGCCTATGACCCCAAGAACACCATCCCCACTGTCAAACATGGAGGTGGAAACATTATGCTTTGGGGGTGTTTTTCTGCTAAGGGGACAGGACAACTTCACCGCATCAAAGGGACGATGGACGGGGCCATGTACCGTCAAATCTTGGGTGAGAACCTCATTCCCTCAGCCAAGGCATTGAAAATGGGTCGTGGATGGGTATTCCAGCATGACAATGACCCAAAACACACGGCCAAGGCAACAAAGGAGTGGCTCAAGATGAAGCACATTAAGGTCCTGGAGTGGCCTAGCCAGTCTCCAGACCTTAATCCCATGGAAAATCTGTGGAGGGAGCTGAAGGGTCGAGTTGCCAAACGTCAGGCTCCAAACCTTAATGACTTGGAGAAGATCTGCAAAGAGGAGTGGGACAAAATCCCTCCTGAGATGTGTGCAAACCTGGCGGCCAACTACAAGAAACGTCTGACATCTGTGATTGCCAACAAGGGTTTTGCCACCAAGTACTAAGTAATGTTTTGCAGAGGGGTCAAATACTTATTTCCCTCATTAAAATGCAAATCAATTTATAACATTTTTGACATGCGTTTTTCTGGATTTCTTTGTTGTTATTCTGTCTCTCACTGTTCAAATAAACCTACCATTAAAATTATAGACTGATCATTTCTTTGTCAGTGGGCGTACAAAATCAGCAGGGGATCAAATACTTTTTTCCCCTCACTGTAGTTACCCAACAGAGGCAACATACGAGCTGTCATTCAAACTGCCAGGTAGACATTGGAGGCTTGGAAGAGCACGCAAAAAATCAGGCGTGATAGGAGAAAGAGTTATCAAATCCGACACGCGGACTCATTGAATAATTCCTACTGAATTACCCTTTTCCTCAGCCTTGAACTGTTGGTGCGAGGGCTGTTCTACACTGATTGACTCAGAGTCAATGTTTTATACTGGACGTGTACTAAGGAAGGAGATGTCTCGGCTATGGTAGAACACTCCATTTCCATTCTCTGCACATTGTTGCCAAGTTCTTCAGCATCTACACCAGTTTCACAATGCATTCTGGGGGATCCCTAAGATGAGATGTGCACATTTCTGTTCGGGCCGAGTACTTGCACATTTCAACTCATCAAAGCTTGGTGTTTAGTTGAATCAAGTGTGCTACTGCTGGGCTACAATAACAATGTGCACTCCCTTCGGGTCCTCCAGGAAATGGATTGAGAAACAGTGATCTAAAGACTCCTTTCACCTGAGTGCACAACCAAATCCTACTTCTGCCACCATCTGTCTCTAAAATTAGTTTATAGTTGTTTATACCTGTACCCCCACACATTGACTCGGTACCAGTACCCCTGTATAAAGCCTCGTTATTCTTATTTTATTGTGTTATTATTTTTTTATTTTTTACTTTAGTTAATTTAGTAAATATTTTCTGAACTCTTATTTGTCTTAGCTGAAATTGTTAGTTAAGGGCTTGTACATAAGCATTTCACAGGAAGGTCTACACCTGTTGTATTCGGCGCATGTAACAAATACAATTTGATATGCATATCACTACTATAAAGTAATCCCAAATGTGAAATTAGATTGTGCCTATTTTCCCATACACTTGGTACATGTCCTGAACATACCCTTTAAGTCAGATACGTCCCAGTGCTGAGCTATCCCTTTAAGTCAGATACGTCCCAGTGCTGAGCTATCCCTTTAAGCCAGATACGTCCCAGTGCTGAGCTATCCCTTTAAGTCAGATAGGTCCCAGTGCTGCTCACCTCCAGGGCCTTGCTAAGGACCTCGCCCTGATCTCCTGAGGTGTTCTCCAGGGAGTCCTCGTAGATGTCCACCAGGAAGCCCAGTAAGTAGGGCGAGCAGTGGGTCTCCTTGAGCTCCAGGATCTGCTCCAGGAGACCCGGGTGGGATGACAAGCCCCGGTCCTGCAGAATCCTGGGGGGAAAAGGAGGCGGCGAGGGGTGTGAAAAGCTTTGGCAACTCTACAGAAGCAGTATCCCAATTCAGAGCTCCTACACTAAACATGGTGACTTCTGACATCTGCTGGTGGAGGATATAAACTGCAAGATAAGTGCACTAGTATTACTAGCCATAATGTTGTAGACTCACAAATTAAAGGCCCAGTGCAGTCAAAAACTTGATTTACCTGTGTTTTATATATATTTCCACACTATGAGGTTGGAATAATAGTGTGAAATTGTGAAAATGTTGATAATGCCCTATTAGTGTAGTAGCTGTTTGAAAAGACCGGCTGAAATGTCAGCCTGTTTTGGTGGGATGGAGTTTTGGCCTGCCTGGTTATATCACCAGGCGGTAAATTAGTTAATAGACCAATAAGAACGAGAGTTCCAAACCAATAACAGCTAGTTTTCAGTATTCCCCTCCCCACTCAGACCACTCCCAGACAGTCCTAGCAAAATTCTTGCTTGAGAAATTGCTTTTAGATAAGAATCTATTTTTGTTTCTTTTTGACCATTTTAATGCAAAACAAATCACACTAAGGTACTCAATTTTACCCAGAAATGATTTGATATTGAGATAAAAGATGTCTGCATTGAACCTTTAAAAGGAATACTTAAGGATTTTGGCAATGAAGCCCTTTATCTACAGTACTTTGCCAGAGTCAGATGAACTCGTGGATACCATTTTTATGTCCCTGTTTGAAGGAAGTTGCTAACTAGCGTTAGCACAATTGCTAACTAGCGTTAGCACAATGACTGGAAGTCTATGGTAACTGCTAGCATGCTAGTAGACTCCATAGACTTCCAGTCAATGCGCTAACACTAGTTAGCATTGGCTCGCGAAACGACCTCCAACTTCCTTCATACTTGATGCAGAGACATAAAAATCTGCTAAATCCCTAAGTGTCCCTTTTAGTATTATTTAATTCCCTACTGAATGAATCCTGTATGACACCTACCCTTTCAAATAGTTCCACACACTTTCATTGTGGGGAGCCTTCTTGATCTGTTTGAGACTGTACCTTAAAAAAGACAAAGGAGAACACATTTATCAGATATGTGTCTGATGTAGCACACTGGAAATCTCTACCCAGTCCAGAAACAAGCCCTACCCCATATTCAAACAGAATCCCTAATGTCTTACCCAAGGAGATCCAAAAGGATTTGATAGGTGTAATGCCGGAAGACCCATCTAGCCTATCAGAGGGCAAGGTGGAGCTACTATAATGATGCTCATACTGATCACATCCTTTCAGATATATGAAGTGTCCAGTGGGTAGGGGCTAGGAGGATGAAGTGTCTAGTGCAGGACTGCCCAACCCTGTTCCTGGAGAGCTACCGTCCTGTAGGTTTTTGCTCCAACCCTAATCTAGCACACCTGATTCTAACAATTAGCAGGTTGATAAGATGAATTAGGTTAGTAACACCTGGGGTTGGAGCAAAAACCTACAGGAGGGTAGCTCTCCAGGATCAGGGTTGGGCAACCCTGGTCTAGTGGCTAGGGGCTAGGAGGTTGAAGTGTCTAGTGGCTAGGGGCTAGGAGGATGAAGTGTCTAGTGGCTAGGGGCTAGGAGGTTTAGTGTCTAGGGGCTAGGAGGATGAAGTGTCTAGTGGCTAGGGGGTTGAAGTGTCTAGGGGCTAGGGGCTAGGAGGTTGAAGTGTCTAGGGGCTAGGGGCTAGGAGGTTGAAGTGTCTAGGGGCTAGGAGGTTGAAGTGTCTAGTGGCTAGGGGCTAGGAGGTTGAAGTGTCTAGTGGCTAGGGGCTAGGAGGATGAAGTGTCTAGTGGCTAGGGGCTAGGAGGTTTAGTGTCTAATGGGTAGGGGCTAGGAGGATGAAGTGTCTAGGGGCAAGGAGGTTGAAGTGTCTAGTGGCTAGGGGCTAGGAGGTTGAAGTGTCTAGTGGCTAGGGGCTAGGGGGATGAAGTGTCTAGTGGCTAGGGGCTAGGAGGTTTAGTGTCTAGTGGGTAGGGGCTAGGAGGTTTAGTGTCTAGTGGGTAGGGGCTAGGAGGATGAAGTGTCTAGGGGCTAGGAGGTTTAGTGTCTAGGGGCTAGGGGCTAGGAGGTTTAGTGTCTAGTGGGTAGGGGCTAGGAGGATGAAGTGTCTAGGGGCTAGGAGGTTTAGTGTCTAGGGGCTAGGGGCTAGGAGGTTGAAGTGTCTAGTGGCTAGGGGCTAGGAGGTTGAAGTGTGGTCCTCTGTAGCTCAGTTGGTAGAGCACGGCGCTTGTAACGCCAAGGTAGTGGGTTCGATCCCCGGGACCACCCATACACAAAAATGTATGCACACATGACTAAGTCGCATTGGATAAAAGCGTCTGCTAAATGGCATATTATATTATTATTATAGGGGCTAGGAGGATGAAGTGTCTAGGGGCTAGGAGGTTTAGTGTCTAGTGGGTAGGGGCTAGGAGGATCTAGGGGCTAGGAGGTTTAGTGTCTAGTGGCTAGGGGCTAGGAGGATGAAGTGTCTAGGGGCTAGAGGCTAGGAGGTTTAGTGTCTAGTGGGTAGGGGCTAGGAGGTTGAAGTGTCTAGGGGCTAGGAGGATGAAGTGTCTAGTGGCTAGGGGCTAGGAGGTTGTTTCTGGACCAAGCCTTTCCCATTTTCAGCTTCTACTCAATAGTGGTAAGGTGTGGGGCTGACATGAGATACGGCATGTAGGGAGAGCAGGCACGTACTGTACTTCTCTGTTGAGTATGGCTGGGTCTGAGTAGCCTGTGGTGTGGGAGATGACGTAGTGCCTCTGGTTCCACGCCGAGTTGTTCCTCACATCGTCCTCCAACAACTGCTCCACATACTCCAGCTCACTGTCCCACAGCTTGTACTCCTGGAGAGCAATATACAATTATTTAGTCCAGACACACTCCATACACTCACTTTAGTCCAGACACACACTTCATACACATTTACAGTATTTAATCCAGACACACTTACAGCATTTAGTCCAGACATACACTCCATATACACAGTATTTTGTCCAGACACACACTTCATACACACTTACAGTATTTAGTCAAGACACACTCCATACACGTATTTAGTACTGACAGAGAGACAAACACACCATTGTCCTTGCTATACAGTATTCCAATGGCACGTGACCACTCTGATTTGTGATTAATATTTTAAATGTTTTACATTTTAGCAGACGCTCTTATCCAGAGCGACTTACAGTTAGTGAATGCATTCATTTTTTAAATTTTTTTTTCATAATATGCACTGCACATAAAGGATTTTCTTGTTCAGAAATCTCCCTTCTTCTGATATCCTAGAGACATACTTCTGATCCATCCGCTACTAGATACTTTCCAAGACTATACATAAATTCAATCACACATAACTGTAGGACAATAAAACTGCACAGGCATATAATGCAGCCATTTCAGAGAGCCGCAGCAGGTCTGTTCGGTGGCAGAATGCAAATGTTACTTCATTTGCATAGACATGCCAAAATAAATTATGCAAATCAAACCACTTGGTTTCCTTACCACAAATCTGGAGCTGAAAACATATTCAAAATTGGGCCATTGAGTCTTCGGTTGGCTACATTCACAATGCTTTTGCAGTTTGACTGTAAATCATGAAACACTACTATAATAAGTAGAGTGAGAGAATGAAAGGAAAGGGACAACCGAAACTGGGTTCATCGCTTTGTTCATCTAGCAGAAGTGTCAGCTTATCCTTCCAATCAGAGACAAAAAGACAGGAGATCTTTGGCGCCACCCTTTCTGATAGCAATAAATTGTTATATGACCCTTTCCGATAGCAATAGATTGTTATTTGTCCTTTTCCACTAGCAATAGATTGTTATTTGTCATTTTCCACTAGCAATAGATTGTTATTTACATACTCTATAGGCAGCCATATACTCTCCATTTCATAAGAAGTTATGTGATTGTGAATGTGTAACAGAGTAGGTCTAGTCCATATCCCAAACTGGGCTTATCCAGAGACACTCTGCACAGCAACACTTCCTGCTCAATAAGCACAGTCAATACCACTGACCCAGAAAAGCCAAGGTCTGGGACAACAGTAATTCTATGTCTCAGGGCAGGAGATGTCACTTTGTCCGGGACAACAGTAATTCCATGTCTCAGGGCAGGAGATTTACTTGGTCCGGGACAACAGTAATTCGATGTCACTTGGTCTGGGACAACAGTCATTCTATGTCTCAGGGCAGGAGATGTCACTTGGTCTGGGACAACAGTCATTCTATGTCTCAGGGCAGGAGATGTCACTTGGTCCGGGACAACAGTAATTCTATGTCTCAGGGCAGGAGATGTCACTTGGTCCACGACAACAGTAATTCTATGTTTCAGGGCAGGAGATGTCACTTTGTCCGGGACAACAGTAATTCTATGTCTCAGGGCAGGAGATTTACTTGGTCAGGGACAACAGTAATTCTATGTCTCAGGGCAGGAGACGTCACTTGGTCTGGGACAACAGTAATTCTATGTCTCAGGGCAGGAGATGTCACTTGGTCCAGGACAACAGTAATTCTATGTCTCAGGGCAGGAGATGTCACTTGGTCCACGACAACAGTAATTATATGTCTCAGGGCAGGAGATGTCACTTGGTCCACGACAACAGTAATTATATGTCTCAGGGCAGGAGATGTCACTTGGTCCACGACAACAGTAATTCTATGTCTCAGGGCAGGAGACGTCACTTGGTCAGGGACAACAGTAATTCTATGTCTCAGGGCAGGAGACGTCACTTGGTCAGGGACAACAGTAATTATATGTCTCAGGGCAGGAGACGTCACTTGGTCTGGGACAACAGTAATTCTATGTCTCAGGGCAGGAGATGTCACTTGGTCAGGGACAACAGTAATTCTATGTCTCAGGGCAGGAGATGTCACTTGCACGATGGCTGTTACTAGCACACACGCACACAGCTAACTAGCTAACAATTCACCATGGGTTACAAACGCAAGCCTAGTTGTTGAGGCTCCTACCTTGAGGACCCACTGTCTGTGCTGCCAGGCGTGGTAGTTCTTAGCGTCCTGACTTAGGATCTCTGAAATGAACTCCAGTTCTTCCGAGGGGTCGTTCAGCCACTCCACCACCATACGTCTATGGTGCCTAGGATAAGGAGAAGACGAATTTGACACAGATTCTATGGTTCTACACAAGTAGAACAGAAGAAGTTGTTTATTGTTCAACTTGTTGAGAATGAAAATGTATATATATGCTCAAAAGCAAATGTTGGAGACAAACAGCCTGATGTTGTCATCCAGTCACATCTGTTTATTTTCCAAAGTATAGCACACCATATTTTACATAAAGTGGGTTCTTAAAGGACCATAGTGTTAGTCTGCTTCGTGATTGCTTTTTGCCATGGAAAATCGAGAATTGTCAGATCGTGATACTGGTTAAGTGACACTAAAATCTAGATTGGCAGAGCTCACCAGACTTGGTAGTTTTTGGGCTGGTCCTCGATGATGGCTGTAATGTACCTCATCTCCTCTCTCAGGTCCTTCTCCAGGGCCTGAAGTAACACTCGCCGGTAGTGCCTTCACACACACATACACACAGAAAACGGAGAGAGAAAAAGTACACCCTTTCTTTATGGTCTTGTACTTGTCACTTTCGAAGAAGAGAGGTTCATACCAAATAAAACTATTGATATTCTACTGTTGTTGTGTTCTTAAATCATAATAACATCTGCTTACCATACAGTGTAATTTGCAGCATTCAGTTCAATGGCTTCAGCCGTCAGTGCAAATGCCCTGTCGCTTTTTTCATCATTCTTCAATAACGCTCGGAAATAGTCATACACATCTGTGACTATTGGATACAAAAGTGACATGTTTGTTTGCATTGGTTATGTGTGAAATGAAAAGTTTCTGATGCAAAGTGAAATAATTTTTACATGAATCATAACTACTCAAAGGGACATTTGGTAGGCTAAATGCATGAGACAATATACATAAAACAATATGGATGTCTGGTTCTAAATTATATGTTTAATATCTTACACTTGTCAGAGTAGGCAATCTTCACTACAGGATTGGGACCATCATCTTGCGGAACAGGTTCTAAATCAGCCCATTCTTTCCTGTCTCTGTATATGAGTGGAGCAGGGAGAGAGAGAGAGAGAGAGATGGGGAGAGAGAGGGGAGAAGGGAGGGAGAGAGAGGAGAGAAGGAAGGGAGAGAGAGGGGAGAAGGAAGGGAGAGAGAGGAGAGAAGGAAGGGAGAGAGAGGGGAGAAGGAAGGGAGAGAGAGGGGAGAAGGAAGGGAGAGGGAGAGGGGTAGATTGGAGTTTTGGGGATCTTCCGGAGAGGTTTTTCGCTTTTCTCCCTTTTCTCCCGAGGGGAGGGAGAAGAGAGGAGGGGCGGGAGAAGAAGGGGGGGAGCGTGGAGAGAGGGGGAGAGCAAGAGAGAGAGGGGTAAAGATAGAGGGACATTAGTGAATGGGGCAACTGTTCTCTCAGCCAATGCGGCTATCACAATTGTTCAGGTATCCCTTTTAAATCAATGCAAAAATATAAAACACTAACACCCAGCTATAATTAAGTTGACTATCAATTACAGATCACTCGGATCTCCCTTTCAAGGCGAGCAAGCTAGTTAGCTAACTCACACCGGCTCGGGGAGTTGGGAGAAATTGCCATATTGCTCCACAGAGAATAATATTTGACTATCTACACCCTGATAGCAATGTGAACTAGTCTTTATGCATCTTCCACTTATGATGAATGCATGGCAAAAATTTGCCATCACTAACCACAACATGCAATCACTGTTCTAGCTAGCTAGCCTAACTAGCTAGTTAGCCTACCTGTAAAACACATAACAGAACGGGTTTTCATAGTCAATCTCGGGCTCCTCTTCGACCCCTTCCTCGCTCCTCCTCTCATCCTGAAATTCTGATGATACATGTGAAGTTTCTTCAATTCCTGACATTCTTTAATAAGATGGTCTTTCGGTTGCAGGCTGAATGAGTACTGCCTTATTTACAACGTCGGACGTCTGTGTTGTTGCACTCATGGACGTCATTTCCTCTGTTTTGTGCAACTCGGATAACCGTTTTACATGGAACAGTGCATGTAAAATCCGCGTAGGGGTCGATAGCAATGGTTGATAAATAATAATAAGTAGAAATATCAATAAGGAACGTTTATAAACGTTGAGTGTTTATGTCAGCTATCTGTTAGCTCATTACCAAATACATGGTTTTCAAAATGGTGTGTTTTGTAAGTATTGGTGCTTTCAAGACAACTGGTGCCTCGTTCAAAACAACTGGGAACTCTGAAAAATGAGGTGAAATCAAAACGTCAGTGATCTTCAGGTCGGAAAGTCGGAGATCTAGAAAGAGCCCTGAGTTCCCGAGTTGGAATTCCGAGTTGACGTCAGCACAGGAGGCTGCTGAGTGGAGAAGGGTTCATAATAATGGCCGGAACGGAGCAAATAGAATAGCATCAAACACCTGGAAACCATATGTTTGATACCATTCCACATTAAGGTGCCACCAACTTCCTGTGGACGTCAGTGATGTTCAGGTCGGAAGTCCGAGCTCCCGACTTGGAATTCCGAGATGGATGACCTTACAAAACTATTTTTCCCAGTCGGAGCTCGCTTTTTTCAGTTCCCTGTTGTCTCGAACGCACTGAAGTCGGATATTTCGAATTGATGTCGGAGTTCCCAGTTGTTTCGAATGTGGCATATGCACACAGGTTTACCAAAGACAGAGGGCTTGTTCGACATTGCAGGCGACTGCCGACTGACTGATCAACAAAGAACCTTGCATCATAAAAAAAAAAAACTACTCATTATTTGTAGATCAGTCAGTCAAGTCACAATTTACCCATGATACAGTGAGGGAAAAAAGTATTTGATCCCCTGCTGATTTTGTACGTTTGCCCACTGACAAAGAAATGATCAGTCTATAATTTTAATGGAAGGTTTATTTGAATAGTGAGAGACAGAATAACAACAAAAAAATCCAGAAAAACGCATGTCAAAAATGTTATAAATTGATTTGCATTTTAATGAGGGAAATAAGTATTTGACCCCTCTCAATCAGAAAGATTTCTGGCTCCCAGGTGTCTTTTATACAGGTAACGAGCTGAGATTAGGAGCACACTCTTAAAGGGAGTGCTCCTAATCTCAGTTTGTTACCTGTATAAAAGACACCTGTCCACAGAAGCAATCAATCAATCAGATTCTAAACTCTCCACCATGGCCAAGACCAAAGAGCTCTCCAAGGATGTCAGGGACACGATTGTAGACCTACACAAGGCTGGAATGGGCTACAAGACCATCGCCAAGCAGTTTGGTGAGAAGGTGACAACAGTTGGTGCGATTATTCACAAATGGAAGAAACACAAAATAACTGTCAATCTCCCTCGGCCTGGGGCTCCATGCAAGATCTCACCTCGTGGAGTTGCAATGATCATGAGAACGGTGAGGAATCAGCCCAGAACTACACGGGAGGATCTTGTCAATGATCTCAAGGCAGCTGGGACCATAGTCACCAAGAAAACAATTGGTAACACACTACGCCGTGAAGGACTGAAATCCTGCAGCGCCCGCAAGGTCCCCCTGCTCAAGAAAGCACATATACATGCCCGTCTGAAGTTTGCCAATGAACATCTGAATGATTCAGAGGAGAACTGGGTGAAAGTGTTGTGGTCAGATGAGACCAAAATGGAGCTCTTTGGCATCAACTCAACTTGCCGTGTTTGGAGGAGGAGGAATGCTGCCTATGACCCCAAGAACACCATCCCCACCGTCAAACATGGAGGTGGAAACATTATGCCTTGGGGGTGTTTTTCTGTGAGGGGACAGGACAACTTCACCGCATCAAAGGGACGATGGACAGGGCCATGTACCGTCAAATATTGGGTGAGAACCTCCTTCCCTCAGCCAGGGCATTGAAAATGGGTTGTGGATGGGTATTCCAGCATGACAATGACCCAAAACACAATTACCTAAAATGTGCAGTTTTGTCACACAACACAATGCCACAGTTGTCTCAAGTTTTGAGGGAGCGTTCAATTGGCATGCTGACTGCAGGAATGTCTACCAGAGCTGTTGCCAGATAATGTAATGTTAATTTCTCTACCATAAGCCAATGTTGTTTTAGAGAATATGGCAGTACGTCCAACCGGCCTTACAAATGCAGACCACGTGTAACCATGCCAGCCCAGGACCTCCACATCCGGCTTCTTCACCTGGGGGATTGTCTGAGACCAGCCACCTGGACAGCTGATGAAAGGGAGTATTTCCGTCTGTAATAAAGCCCTTTTGTGGGGAAAAACTCATTCTGATTGGCTGGGCCTGGCTCCCAAATTAGTGGGCCTATGCCCTCCCAGGCCCACTAATGGCTGTGCCCCTGCCCAGTCATGTGAAATCCATAGATTAGGGCCTAATTAATTTATTTCAATTGACTGATTTCCTTATATGAACTGTAACTCAGTAAAAAATCGTTAATTGTTACATGTTGCCTTTATATTTTTGTTCAATATACATTGGGCACTAACATGTATTTGATTCCCTGCACTGGGTTAATGTGGACTGGACAAAGTGGACGCGTTCTTCTGCCCAGGCGTTGCTGACACATGCCATTTCTTACAATACCTGGATAACCACATAATTTGATATAGCAATCTGTCAGTCGATGACGTGGCACGCAACCATTGGTGAGCATGGGAACGCGACCAGTCTTTTGGATCTTAAAACAAGAGATTCAGAAATCGTTTTGACTTTTCATCTGAATGATGACACCTTTTAGCAAGAAATTATCCCATCACTGCCACTCATCCATCTATCCATAACTGCCCAAAGACCAAGGAGAGTAGTGCCCCTTTCTGATCATCTACTGAATGTAACCAAAGAGAGGATTTCCACCGAGGAGAGAAATCCCCCAGCGCAGGAGAGAGACGGCATGTACCCTAGTGGTTCAGAGCGTTGGGCTAGTAACTGAAAGGTTGCTGGTTCGAATCCCCGAGCCGGCAAGGTGGAAAAAAATCTGCCGTTCTGCCCCCGACAACAACTACTCGCCCATGACGTTGATTAAGGCACCTTGCTGATTCTGAGGGGTTGGGTTAAATGTGGAAGACACATTTAGGTTGAATGCATTCAGTTGTGCAACTGACTAGGTATCCCAATCCTGTATGTACCTTTCTGCTTTATGGCTGGTCATCATAATATTCACAGAACTGCAGAGAAGAAAAGTGATAAATGTGTATACAAATAATCACTGGATACTTCTCAAAAAGGCCTTTATTTATTTTACACACAAATTACAATTAATCAACTCATTAGTATCTAACATAATTGTACATAGAGTTAACACGTTTATTGTGGGCTAATGTGTAAGATGGGCGTATAAAAAATAGCTATTATCCAAAACTGTTCAGGTTACAGCAAAGGTAAATGGATGGAATCTAGCGTCCTTTGTTCAGGAGATTCACTGTTTGCCATTGCCATTAATGGGCAGTTTTTTGTAGGCATCAGAGTCCAGGAAGGCATTGATTTTAGGACGGGCAGACATCTTCTCGACAAAGCTCTTCAGGGAGGGGAAGGTATCCAGGCAACTGGAGCAGAGCACCAGGTGGTTGAGCAGCACTTCAAACAGACTGTAGTCGGCAAACGAAGGCTATGTAGGATAGGGAACATAGAAAGAGACTCATGATGGCATCATTAACTTGAATGGCGATGCATGTTCTACTCATTCTAGGTCTGTGAGGTAACAGACGGTACTGAGATTACAAGAGAACTAAAACATTTAATTAATACATTTTGGTAAATTACTCCATAATTCAATAGCCCTCTGTTTGGGTGCATTGCAGGATTGGTTACCTTGTCACCAACGAGAAAACCAGTCTTGTTTTTGGCCATCACAGCTTCAAACTTGTCGAGGTGGTTAGGAAGGCCTTTGATATATGAGTCTTTACCAGTATCCTACCAAAAAGAGAATGCGTTTAATCATAATGACACTTCATAAATGTTTACCTATTAAGCTACCAGGGTTTCTGTTAGCTAGCAAATGAAAAGCCGATAATGCAACTGTTGCCTGCCAAAATGTAAGGGAGAAAAAAAAACGAACATTGCAACATTATGCTTTTTATTCATTGATGGAAATACATTTCACCGTAATGCTTATCGGTCTATAGATTAATTAGAATACTTTTTGAATTAAATTAGCCTGTGTATTTTTTGTTAGTCATCATGTATCCTATTCAGTGGCGACCAGTCATTCAGTCAGGTTTTTTATTGCTTGTTTAGCATGTTATTTTTGCTTCATGCATTACCACAATCTAAATGTGATTTCTGTCATTCTGAGCACTATGGGCAGACGCCCTACTGGTTATGCACCCAATGCACCTGGGTCCAATAGATTTCTCAAATGCCCAGTAAATTAAAATCTTCCCGGTCACGTTGTCAGGTGCCACATTTCCCTATCGGAAATCCTGTTAGCTACATAAAAAACACTGTCTCACACATTGAACCAAATGTTTTTTTACTACACTGCAGTAGTACAGGTTAAACATTTTTTATGAACTGTACCCTTCAGCCTTGGTGAATACTTACGTATTCCTGGTAAATCATTTTTCCATATTTAAGACGAAGGTCCTCAACGCCATCAGACATCATGTCAATGAGGGCGGCCTCCTTGCCATCTTTCCCATAGGCATCTGTGTGTTCGAGTTAGGTGAAAGTATAAATAACATTTCAAGCTAATATTTGATAGATTATAAAGCATAAATGGAGTGAGGAAAACAATGTAAATACACTGAGTATACCAAACACCAGGAACACCTCCCCCCTTTTGCCCTCAGAACAGCTTCAATTCTTGACACAAACCGCTGCACCTGGGACCTACTACCATACTCTGTTCAAAGGCACTTAAATCCTTTTTATTGCCCATTCACCCTCCGAATGGCACACACACAATCCATGTCTAAGTTGTCTCAAGGCTTAAAAATCCTGATTGAAGTGGATTTAACAAGTGACATCGATAAGAGATCATAGCTTTCACCTGGTCAGCCTATGTCATGGAAACAGCAGGTGTTCTTAATGTTTTGTATACTCCGTGTATATGACATTACAATTGAGAGCAATTACCATGATTGCGGCCCAAGTGCCTCAGAATGGCATTTGACTGGTGCAGGACCAATCCTCCATCTTCAAACTTGGGCAACTGACCAAATACCTAAAACCAAAAAATAAAGTTGTTATTTATTATAGATTGTAACAACTAATAAGGACATAGGGTTTACATATTTATTGTAGATGAATCAACTCTACATTGATGGTAACAGAGTTAATGAGGTAATATGTCTTTACATCAATATGAATAATGGAATGTACAGGTATTCAAAAACAAACAGTGTACACTAAACAAACCGATCGTCCTTCAAAAACACATTCCAGCTATTATTAACAGACCATCATCCCTGGCTAATCTGAACAGGTTGACAAATGAAAGATGGTAACAAAGGAATGATCCATTACCCACTCACACAAGTGGCTTTCAAATCTCCTTTCATCCAGTCAGCAAAGTCCACCAGGATCTCCTTCCACTCCTGGCCCTGGTCGGCCATCATGATCCTCACAGCGCCACAGCGCCCTGTGGTACACGAGACAGTTAGAACAGGTCAACCAAAACAAAAACAGCTCTCAATCATAAGACACTTTGGCATCATAATAGGTTTTGGCACAGATCTAACGAGTTATAAATAGCACTAGTGTTGGGTAAATATATGCTTCCAGACTAGATAAATTGTTTAAATAATAAACAGGTAAGATTGTAAGGTGAAATAAAATATGAAGGGAGCAAAGTTTGCTTTCTTGTTGATGTACAGTAGTAGGTCTATAAAAAGGCAGCTTCTATCCAGAAATAAAATGGCTACCTTCTCTCTGGGATTATTTATACGACCATTCTTGATTATTCAAGTCCAAAATATTTTTGGGGTTCAAGTCCCATGACCTGATTGTTCACCCCACATTAATCTGGGTCACATGCTCCTGACAGAAAGCCAGCCCTTCTCATTGCTAAAGCACCAGGAATAATTTAAGCTGCAGACACAGAAGGAACACAGACTGTTTAAGTGTATGAACGGTGATCATGGAGGCCAGCTGAGCCAAACTAGTAGTCCAAGTATTTTCTGTGATAACAATCAAAAGGGATGGGTGAGGCTGCAAGGTGGGTGAAATCCAGATCATATCATCTATGTGAAAGATCACACATGGTGTTAAGATTACCTGGAATGACTTCACCTCCAGTTTATGTTATAAAACCATTAGAAACACAATATTGAGTATTGATTCAAGCTGCTGCAGTAGAGGCTTCTGGGTAATGAATGACGGAGATACGGTCTTTGGATATGACACTAAATAAGTTCACATTTCATGAATGTGAGCAGTAACAGGTGCAAGGCTTTTGTCTTTGACTTCAAACAATCTTACTCCATCACTATACATAGCCTACAACATTTTGTTTAGAGACGGTCGAAATGCAGAAAATATTTGATAATAGCTAGCTATATTATCAAAGCTTATTATAACAGGGAATGCATGAACAACCATGCACTCTCCAATGGTCGGCTATTATTACTTCAAAACAACCAGGCTCTGTGTGTGATGTCGAATAGGATTAACTGGCTCCACATACCTCGGACTCCAAAGTAAGTGATTGTGTAGGGACCCACTGGCAAGAGGAGATACAAAACATGTGTCAATTCATTACAAGAAACTAGACTTTGATTAAAATATTTCTGACAAATTTCAACTTTTATTACATGGATTCAGACAAAGTAGATGGTTTTGTGCCCCGTAAATGAAACTTTTTAAAACCAAAAAAGAGACTTTAGTATATGGCCAATATACCACGGCTAAAGGTTGTTCTTAAGCAAGACGCAACGCGGAGTGCCTGGACACAGCACTTAGCCGTGACACATTGGCAATATACCACAAACCCCTGAGGTGCCTTAATGCTATTATAAACTGGCTACCAACTTAATTAGAGCAGTAAAAATAAAAATGTTTTGTCATACTCGTGGTTTATAATATAAACTTGGATGTTCGAGCCCTGAATGCTGATTGGCTGGCAGCAGTGGCATATCAGACCATATACCACAGGTATGACAAAACGTTTATTTTTACTGCTCCAATTACGTTGGTAACCAGTTTATAATAGGAATAAGGCACCTCAGGGGTTTGTGTTATATTGCCAATTTATCAGGGCTAAAGAACAGCCCTTAGCCCAGGTATATTGGCAATATACCACAAACCCCCAAGGTGCCTTTTTGCTTAAGTATAGGCCAAGTTGTAAGTACTATTTGCATGTGAAAATCCCATGCACCTTGGAATATTTGAATAAATTATTGTTTTTGTTGGCAAACAAATCTCGCAGTGTGGCCAGTCTGGCGTCCATGGCGTTTTAGCACATCAAGCACCCGGGTCATGTCAGGGGTGTATTCATTAGTCAGATTCCGTTGCAAAACGTTGTCTGTTGCAAACCGTTTATTCTAGGAAACAAACGGAAGCAACCAGAGCAAATGGAACTAAACGGGGGACCTACCTGAATTTGGCCAATAGAAACTAGTTTTCGTTGCAAAACGTTTAACGTTTGCAACGGTATCAGACTAATGAATACACCCCTGGTCTAGCTAGCCAGGACGCTCAAGTTCACCCAGTCAGTCTGACAGCACTTCAACCAACTCAAGGATACACATACTCGAGTACGAAACTTGAAATGAATTCTGAAAGTAAAAACATTCCAACTGTCAACCACCATGCATAACTTGGTGGGAGGGCAATCGGTTGTGCAGTTTGCTACATAAACCAGGTTTTTAGCCAAGAAATTAGAATACCTTCCAACTAGCTAACGTTAGCTATTGGTCCTATTTTTAGTTGACCGTCGAGGATCAGTTCTAGTTGCAAAATGAATTAAATGGCAAGGTAGGCTAGTTAAAGTTAACATAATTCAATGGCAAATAGCTCGCCCGCGTGCACGACCGACTTAGGACAAACATCTGACCGTGCGCTGTATAAATCCTGAAATCCTAGCCATCTATTGCACGTCGCTTTATTTATTATAACGTAGCTATATTTTCAATTGTTGTTTAAAGCTACTTACTTTTGTGATGCAGGTGTCGCAGTGATTTACTTCAAGGTGGCTCTCATTTACTTCAAGGTGGCTCTGAAAATTGAATGGGGGTTGTCCCTTTTTAAACTCCCAACTACACGCCCACATCTGTCACTTTCTGCAAAGTCATACTGACTTACACCATTGACGTTAGTTACACTGTTGCCTTGAATGACTAGTAAAGGTTCTTTTTTTGTTGGTGAAAGGATCCCAAAGTGCTATAGCTTATATCAATAATGATAACCTGATACAAAAGTAAAACTCATTCCCAAGTGTAGTCTCAAGGGTTGCTTTCAAGTCCAAAGAAGTCCCATTGTCACGATAGTATACAAGGCAAGGCTGTGCTTATTATCAAAATAGTTGGAATTGCAATGGTCAGACTAGTTTCTATGACTTGGTAAAATATAATCAAAGTCTGGATTAAAAGCTTTTGTAGCCAGCCAGAGTCATCCTGCACTGCTCTTCCCTACTGTATCTTGAAGTCATATCAAGATTCTCATGTGAGCATCCAATAAATACCTTATCCGAGGCCTGCTCCACGATGACCATGCTTCAGTTCAACTGTCCATACATGCTGGAATTAGGCCAAGCCACAGCATGTTGTAAAATTGTGCTTCATAACGTTGGCATTTCCTAGGCCCAATGTGTCTCTTTTAATGAGTTGTCTGCAGTAGACCCCATATTTGCACAAAGAATCTTCCAGAGACATAAACAAAAAAACACACACCTTCCCTCAAGTCATTGAGTCTACATCCAAAGAATAGACCTATGTTCTTATTGTAGTAAATTAAATGCTCATTATATAGGACTGCAAATACCAAACCTGATCATCCTACCTATACAGTCTCTCACACTCTTTTTTAATTTGACACCTGACAACAACCATAACTGGCTCTTACAGTGTGTAAGTTGAGCTGCTGTTTGTAATGCAATACTTGAGACAGCATTTCAGTCAATTGTCTCTACAGGTGTCAATAGGATCCAGCATCACTTATTCTAAAAGGAAAAGGAGATTATCTTTAAAATATTAAGCAAGAGCAACTCCAAGACACACAGTACTCAATATACAGCCAAATTACAATGCAGGGTGATCCATTCTGGTTGAATGTATACATGCTTTAATAATATTGAGGCATATTGGATATTGTATAATATAATAATATAATATGCCATTTAGCAGACGCTTTTATCCAAAGCGACTTACAGTCATGCGTGCATACATATTTTTTTTTTGTGTGTACGGGTGGTCCCGGGGATCGAACCCACTACCTTGGCGTTACAAGCGCCGTGCTCTACCAGCTGAGCTACAGAGGACCACATAATATTGAGGTAAGGTAAGAGGACTAGGGCCAAATGGACTGTAGGCTCTCTTCCCAGGAATGATGGGTCTGTTCTTGAAGTCCTCACTTTCGAGGTAAGCGTGCAGGTTGGGTCGGGCACACAGCCTCCTCAGGTACTTCTGGAAGGCATCAAGGCAAGGGGGGCTGAGGACTTGGTGGTGGATCAGCAGGAGCATGAGGGTGTAGTAGGCTAAGGACATCTGCAAGAAAGAGGAAGAGACCATGAGTACATGAGAGGTCCCGGTCCAAAACAACCCCTAGTCCCTCCCTACCCCCCACCACCATGTACAGTCTATCAGAAGTCTATAAAACAACCCCTAGTCCCTCCCTACCCACCATCACCATGTACAGTCTATCATAAGTCTATAAAACAACCCCTAGTCCCTCCCTACCCACCATCACCATGTACAGTCTATCATAAGTCTATAAAACAACCCCTAGTCCCTCCCTACCCACCATCACCATGTACAGTCTATCATAAGTCTATAAAACAACCCCTAGTCCCTCCCTACCACCATGTACAGTCTATCAGAAGTCTATAAAACAACCCCTAGTCCCTCCCTACCACCACGTACATCTATCAGAAGTCTATAAAACAACCCTAGTCCCTCCCTACCACCATGTACAGTCTATCAGAAGTCTATAAAACAACCCTAGTCCCTCCCTACCCCCATGTACAGTCCATCAGAAGTCTATAAAACAACCCTAGTCCCTCCCTACCCCCATGTACAGTCCATCAGAAGTCTATAAAACAACCCTAGTCCCTCCCTACCCCCATGTACAGTCTATCAGAAGTCTATAAAACAACCCCTAGTCCCTCCCTACCACCATGTACAGTCTATCAGAAGTCTATAAAACAACCCCTAGTCCCTCCCTACCCCCATGTACAGTCCATCAGAAGTCTATAAAACAACCCATAGTCCCTCCCTACCCCCTACCACCATGTACAGTCTATCATAAGTCTATAAAACAACCCCTAGTCCCTCCCTACCGCCATGTACAGTCTATCAGAAGTCTATAAAACAACCCCTAGTCCCTCCCTACCCCCATGTACAGTCTATCAGAAGTCTATAAAACAACCCCTAGTCCCTCCCTACCCACCATCACCATGTACAGTCAATCATAAGTCTATAAAACAACCCCTACCCCCTCCCTACCCCCCACCACCATGTACAGTCTATCAGAAGTCTATAAAACAACCCCTAGTCCCTCCCTACCCCCATGTACAGTCCATCAGAAGTCTATAAAACAACCCATAGTCCCTCCCTACCCCCTACCACCATGTACAGTCTATCAGAAGTCTGTAAAACAACCCCTAGTCCCTCCCTACCGCCATGTACAGTCTATCAGAAGTCTATAAAACAACCCCTAGTCCCTCCCTACCCCCATGTACAGTCTATCAGAAGTCTATAAAACAACCCCTAGTCCCTCCCTACCCCCCACCACCATGTACAGTCTATCAGAAGTCTATAAAACAACCCCTACCCCCTCCCTACCCCCTACCACCATGTACAGTCTATCAGAAGTCTATAAAACAACCCCTAGTCCCTCCCTACCCCCATGTACAGTCTATCAGAAGTCTATAAAACAACCCTAGTCCCTCCCTACCACCATGTACAGTCTATCAGAAGTCTATAAAACAACCCCTAGTCCCTCCCTACCCGTTACAACCATGTACAGTCTATCAGAAGTATATAAAACAATTCCTAGTCCCTCCCTACCCCCTACCACCATGTACAGTCTATCAGAAGTCTATAAAACAACCTCTATAATAATATAATATTATGCCATTTAGCAGACGCTTTTATCCAAAGCGGCTTACAGTCATGTGTGCATACATTTTTACGTATGGGTGGTCCCGGGGATCGAACTCACTACCCTGGCATTACAAGCGCCATGCTCCCAATTGAGCTACTCTAGTGCCTCCCTACCCCCTACCACGATGTACAGTCTATGCCAGCTGACATCTTTGATGATAATTTGATAACAGAAATACATGTATCTTGTTGCCAACCAGAAAGCTTCCTTGATTTCTGCACAGGGTTTTCACAAAGGGCATGAGTACTTTAAGGTACCCCTCTTTACCGGAGTCCTAGGGAACCAAATATCATTATTAATACATTTGGGGCTCAATTCAATCAAACTTGCATTGTGGTTACAGTAGGTAAGTAGCTAGTTTTCCTATATTCAATACTTTAGTCCTACTCTACTACTTCTATACTGCTACTTTAGTTCACTAAACTATGATACAGATATTGAGCAAGACATATTACACAAAATGGGTGAGTCAATATGAATCTCATTATGTTGCAAGCAGGTTTTTCTGTTTTTCCTCCACCTACCAAGTTTCCGTGTGAGATGCCTCCTTATCACATTGATCTGGTACAGAGTGAGGCCACAGTCTTCAAATTTAGGGAGCTGACCAAACAACTGTAAACGAAAATCAAAGTAATATGATTAAAGGCCCAGTGCAGTCAAAATTATTTTTTCCCCGTGTTTTGTATCATATTATACAACAGCTGATAAAATTAACACTGAAAGTGTGATAATTCTTTATTGGGTTATTTCCTGATAGATGCTGGTTGAAAATGCAATCTACACAGGACTTTCTAATCAGCCTATTTGCATGGGCGGGAGTGTCAGTTTGCCTGGTGACATCACTAGGCGGTAAATTGGTTAATAAACCAATAACAAAGAGAGTTCCAAACCTCTCTGCTAATAACAGATAGTTTTAAGTTTCCCCCTCCCCACTCAGACAATTCCTAGACCGTCCAAGCAAAATTGTCGCTTGAGAAATAGTTTTTTGCTAAAAAGCTATTTTGGTCAATTTTAATGGAAAACTATCACAGTAAGGTACTTAAATTGTTACCCAGAAATGATTTGATATTGATATAAAAAAACGGCTGCATTGGGCACTAATCCTAGTTCAAAAATCTAAATTGTGATTAATCACTTCCTCAATCACCTAGCATCTAAAAGTCATGATTCAAATTCATGATTCTGAGATGACCTTTTGGTAACACCTTCTATGAATACATAAGTGCATTCACAAAAACTTATGAGCATGAGTTATGAGACAGTATTTGTAGTAGCTGTGTTTTGTATTGATATGTTTGTCAGAATCCGTTTGGCTGATCTTGCATCTATCCTCTTCCCCCTATGGAGCTTGTTAAGGGCTCTCTCTGTAAGGCCCACATGGGTGTTGTTGCTTAGAAGCCCGGGATGCCAGTGTCATGTTTGCTACGTTGCTATCTAAACTGCCTTGTTAGGAGAACAATGTCAAGGGTGTTTCAGTAAACATTCAGCCAATCCCCAGAATCAGGAGAAGTTGAACAAGCCCTCGGGGTGTTGCAGCATTTTTGCAAGCAGTTTTGCAGCATTTTTACAGTGAATAGTGAACCCATAGTGCTAATAAAACTCACTGTCAAAATTACTGTTTTCCAATACAAAAAAATATATAATTATAAGCTGGTCCTAGAGACCTTGTGTAAAACAGCAACATTTATTTCAATTGATTAATATTAAGAGCACACATCATAAGGATACACATTTATTACACTTTTGAAGGTTAATCTTTTTTGAAGGTTACTCCCTTCTCAGATACAACTGAATTAATGAAGACATGTTTGTCTGCATGTACTGTAAAAGTGAGGTGAAATGTAATAACATGACTTGACTATGGTACCACTGGTTACCGTGGTAGTAGTCATAGACTCACACAGCTGGCTTTGAGAGTGCCCTCCATCCACATCTCCATGGTGACAACCTTCTCGTCAAACTCTTCCCCTTGGTCTTTGAGCATCACTCGGATGACCTCAGCACAACCTGTTATAGCACAGACAAACAATCTCTACCAAATGAAAACATAGTAGGGCCTACTTCCAGCGTACCAGGATGTCTGGTTCTTACAACAAGGCTACGAAGAGAGTTTAGGGCAAAATAACATTTTCTGTTTATGCAAACTCTACATCAATAGTTGTTTGTGTTGTTTCAAAGAAAAGGTTAAAAAGTCTACTTCAATAGCCAAGTTTGACATGACAATTCCATAAGGAGTTGGCAAGAGAGCAGAAACAGACTGACAACCAGGTTAAAGGTTGACTACAGTATTTTGGACTTCAATAGCTGCCCATTCTCAAAACTGAAAAGTGCCTTAAATTATAGCGGAACATTGATCACGTCAACATACCTCGTACCAGAAAATATGTGAGTGTGAAAGACACTAAAAAGAAAAAAATGATTAGTAAGAAAGAAAAGAGAAAATAATGTCTCTCCACACTGCATATAGTGGTCCACAGTGCAAAGGTTATTTTCTTTATTGTCAGTTGCCTACTTCAGCATATCCAGCAGCAACTGCATAAATCTATTGAATGTGTATGTTTGTCATTTTGACTTGCATGTTCATATTGTACAAATGCTGGAGAGTTGGTTATGTATTACAATGGAGGGTGTCATTTTACACAGTGCTATGTTCGCTTCACTTTAGAGAGTGCTTTGCTTATTGACAGATCTGTTTGTGCTGTCTTGCCAAACTGGTTTGGCAATGACCATAGGAGTTGGCTTTACAGCACAAACAGATCATAATTACTCATGCTTTGCTTCCTGGGGAGTGGCACAAGCAAAAACACGATTGGTTCAGGTTTATGCATTGGAGGTGCGTGATGTTGAACTATGCAACAGTTACGCTTGCCAGAAAGCAACTGCAGTAGTAGTAGTCAAATGTACTACTCTTTTGGCTGAGTCATTCACAGGTCGACTAGGGATATCTTGTATCTGATGATATATGTACAGGTATCTGATAATATTCTTGAATACAAGCGACATTTACTGACATACAGCTTATTCAATTACTTTGGTGAAAGGTCACAGTAATACTTTGGTGAAAGGTCACAGTAATACTTTGGTGAAAGGTCACGGTAATACTTTGGTTGAGCAATTATGTCAATTACATACAATAAGGGATTCTTAGGCCACAATTCAATCAATTGCAAAAACTGCACTGATGTTTCATTCAAATTGCCTACACTGTATTTTCAGGACAGGTGTGTTTCAGAGTTATCAGCTTGCAGAATATTTATGCTGTATTGGATGTGTTAACCACATTAAAACTCCTGAATCTGTTCCACTTCTTCTTCATTTTCTTCCCTTGTAGACATTGTCATTGTATATTGATGTGAAACTACAACCACAGAGTTTTAAAATCTACACCATGTGTCTGCACCACATACTCCCACTACTGGTGTCCCCCAGGGCTCGGTTCTAGGCCCTCTCCTCTTCTCTCTATACACCAAGTCACTCGGCTCTGTCATATCCTCACACGGTCTCTCCCATCATTGCTATGTGGATGACACTACACTCTACTTTTCTCCTTCCCCCCTTCTGACACCCAGGTGGCGACACGCATCTCTGCGTGCCTGGCTGATATCTCAGCTTGGATGTCGGCCCACCACCTCAAGCTCATCCTCGACAAGACGGAGCTGCTCTTCCTTCCGGGGGAAGGCCTGCCTGCTCAAAGACCTCTCCATCACGGTTGACAACTCCACGGTGTCCCCCTCCCAGAGTGCAAAGAACCTTGGCGTGACCCTGGACAACACCCTGTCATTCTCTGCAAACATCAAAGCAGTGACTCGCTCCTGCAGGTTCATGCTCTACAACATCTGTAGAGTACGACCCTACCTCACACAGGAAGCGGGACAGTTCCTAATCCAGTCTGGACTACTGAAACTCGCAGTTGGCTCCCTGCTTGTTCCACCAAACCCCTGCAATTTATCCAGAACGCTTCAGCCCACCTGTTTTTCAACCTTCCCAAGTTCTCCCATGTCACCCTGTTCCTCCGCACACTCCACTGGCTTCCAGTCGAACATCACATCCACTACAAGACCATGGAGCTTTCCTACGGAAAAGCAAGAGGAACTGTCCCTCCTTACCTTCAGGCTATGCACAAACCATACACACCACCCCGAGCACTCCGTTCTGCCACCTCTGGTCTCTTGGCCCTCCCACCCCTACGGGAGGGCAACGCCCGCTCAGCCCAGTCCAAGCGCTTCTCTGTCCTAGCACCCCAATGGTGGAACCAGCTTCCCCTTGAAGCTAGGACAGCAGAGTCTCTGCCCATCTTCCGAAAACATCTGAAACCCTACCTCTTCAAACAGTATCTTAAATAATCCCAAAGTGGCCCCTCACACTCCCTCCTCACCCCGACCCCCCACCGATAAAAAAATAAGAAGCTTTTTGTGAACAAACACTTGCACTTCACCCCTTCCTAGCTCTGACTTTGCTGATAGCTACTTTATTGAATAAAAATGTACTTACTACAGTATGACTGTTATATGTGGCTGTCCCACCTAGCCATTTTAAGATGAATGCACTAACTGTAAGTCGCTCTGGATAAGAGTGTCTGCTAAATGACAAAAATGTACAAATGTAAACATACAACTATCCTGAAAATACAGCCTAAACAGTCTGAGGGAAGCCTCAGTGTAGTTTGCTTTATCTGCAAGTGTGTCCTAATGCTGTGTTCGTAACCAAGTGGGAGGTGGGAATTTACCAGTTAAGTCGTAAATACCAGTAGGATGCATTCACATGCTTTGAACTTGTTAAGAAACGCAGATTGGCTAATGGGCAACAAGCTGCGTAAACTAAAAGTACAGCTATCATGCTTGTAAATAAATTATAGTGTTCAAAAACAATATTAATAAATTGCTTTTTATAAATAATGTTTTGTAGTTGTATTTAACTGCTTAAAATGCTGTAATCGAGGTCATTTCCTAGGTGACGTCAGAGGTCAGCAAGTGGGCGCTCAGGATGAGGACGAGTATCCCACTAGTAATTACCAGTTGGAGGGCCATTCAAGTGGATTTTTCCAGTCGTATGTGGTAAATTCCTACTTCCCACTTGCTTACAAATGCAGCATAAGTATCAGAAATCCCAATCTTCTATAGCGCACTACTGCCCTCTAGCTGAGAAAGACCAGCTGCTACTGGATCTGACTGGTTGCCAGGGAACATACTGTACAGTAAGTGTCTTTACTTTTTCCTTCATGGTGACTCTGCACTACCAGGTGTATCTCTGTATAAGGGCTTTGCTACCTAATATCTTAGTATTACATTTCATGTTGGATTTATATTACACAATGTTTATTTTCTCATAATAACTTGCATTATGTGCCAAAAGAGGAGGAGAGTGTATTTTGACTCCTAAGGCTGTCATTTAACATAGTGCTTATGTTCACTATACTCTCTAGGGAGTGCTTGTCTGGTCCCAAATCTGGGGTTTGCTACTTAATACCTTGGTCTTACATTTACTGAATGTTATACAACAAAATCAATCCAACTCTGCATTTTTCCAAAGGCATTTTATATAGAAAACAGGTTAAAAATATGCATCCCCATATAGTTTCTAGATCATCTCATTGTACAATTATGTAATTATAGCCATCAAAATAAAGTCATACATATGGATATATGAAAATACATAGCTTAAATGTAAAGAATACCCTACTGTAACCAAAACAATTATAACGCAAGCTTGTCCCCAATAAATAGTTGGTGCATCTATCCAAAATTAGTGGAGAGGTTTCTGATAATATTAGGTATTGTATTATGAGATATATTGTATGAGGTTTTCCATTGCTTATCTCAAGCCTTTTTTATAACACAGCAGCTATGGATTTTCATATGCATACAAATATTCGTTTTCAACTATTTCTGTTCTACTCAAAAATAGATAATTAAAAAGAGATAATTAAAAAGAGATAATTAAAAAGAGAACATTTCCACCATGACTGAAATGTTATGGTTATTGAGCTAGAACAAACATTATTTACAGTGTCTAAGAACATCCTATGGAAAGACTTCCTATGAAATACAATATATAATCAAATGCATGTTTCTGTTCCCTAGTATAATTACAATATAGATATCAGACAAAAGGAATGTAATATCCTGCATAGATCATTAAGGAAATCTAAAGCTGTTTATTATACCAATAAATGCTTAAGTGTAAACCAAACCTGGTCCCAAAGAGGACATTTTCCACTTTCTATCCACAATTTCACATCAGGGCTACACAGAGAAAATAGGTTTACCCACACAAGGACCTCTATCAATAAGGTGGTAATGTATTGGACATAGTCTTGTATGGTGCATTTGGCATAAATGCAGTACGAGTAATTTAAAAGGAATGATGAGACCCACATAAAAGTATGTATTATATCATAGAATATAAGCATGTGTTATATAGAATTCACCACATTTGACCTGAGAGGAATGCTTAACCAAGTCCCATTTATGATGATGGAATGACAACTACTGTATATCATAACATTTTGATAATGTTAGATGGCTGTTACATTATCTTTGATAATGTTATATAGCTGTTACATGATCTTTGCTAATGTCAGATGGCTGTTACATGATCTTTCATAATGTTAGATGGATGTTACATGATCGTTGATAATGTCAGATGGCAGTTACATGATCTTTGATAATGTTAGATGGCTGTTACATGATCTTTGATAATGTTAGATGGCTGTTACATGATCTTTGATAATGTCAGATTGCTGTTACATGATCTTTACCTAGTTCTTAAGGATCTATTACAAATGCTTGGATTGAGTTCAGGTACATTGTTGTCCTTTGTTGTAAGGGTATGCTCTAATGACATACCTAACACAGTACCTAGTAGATATAGTATGCAGTGACAACCCTGTGGTTGTTGACATAAGCATTTCTGAATCTTAATGTACAACTTACGAAGGTGTTGCAGGCTTTATGTTATGTCCAATGCCTCCATCTTGGCACTCCCACACCATTGTAACAAATATTTTGGAAGCTATAGAAATGCATTTTTTAATGTCTACATTTGTTTTTGCCACGATTATTCTATTACAGACACCTTAATGCATACATTCAAATTATATTTGAAACATAAAAATACGAATAAATATAAAAACATTTAAAGTATAATGTTACTGTCCCCACTACAACAAAACAATACTTAAATGCATGTAATTTTGTCCTTGAAACATGTATTTGAAATACTGTAGAATTCCATTCATTCCTATGGAGGACTGCTTCTACTGGGGAGTACCAATATGGCTGACCGGTGGCTTCAAAGCCTTTCATCATCAGCAATCCAGAGTTTATGTACAGTGTATTCGGAAAGTATTCAGACCCCTTTACTTTTTCCACATTTTGTTACATTGCAGCCTTATTCTAAAATGGATTAAATAGTTTTTTCCCTCATCAATCTACACACAATACCCCATAATGACAAAGCAAAAACAGTTTTCATAATATTTTTTTGCAAAGTTAAATAAATAAAAAAAATGAAATATCACATTTACATAAGTATTCAGACCCTTTACTCAGTACTTTGTTGAAGCACCTTTGGCAGCGATTACAGCCTCGAGTCTTCTTGGGTACGATGCTACAAGCTTGGCACACCTGTATTTGGGGAGTTTCTCCCATTCTTCTCTGCAGATCCTCTCAAACTCTGTCAGCTTGGAGGAGGAGCGTTGCTGCACAGCTCTTTTCAGGTCTCTCCAGAGATGTTCGATCGGGTTGAAGTCCGGGCTCTGGCTGGGCCACTCAAGGACATTCAGAGACTTGTCCCGAAGCCACTCCTGCGTTGTCTTGGCTGTGTGCTTAGAGTCGTTGTCCTGTTGGAAGGTGAACCTTCGCCCCAGTCTGAGGTCCTGAGCACTCTGGAGCAGGTTTCATCAAGGATGTCTCTGTACTTTGCTCCGTTCATCTTTCCCTCGATCCTGACTAGTCTCCCAGTCCCTGCCGCTGAAAAACATCCCGACATCATTATGCTGCCACCACCATGCTTCACCGTAGGGATGGTGCCAGGTTTCCTCCAGACGTGACGCTTGGCATTCATGCCAAAGAGTTCAATCTTGGTTTCATCAGACCAGAGAATCTTGTTTCTCATGGTCTGAGAGTCCTTTAGGTGTCTTTTGGCAAACACCAAGCGGGCTGTTGTGCCTTTTACTGAGGAGTGGCTTCCGTCTGGCCACTCTACCATAAAGGCCTGACTGGTGGAGTGCTGCAGAGATGGTTGTTCTTCTGGAAGATTCTCCCATCTCCACACAGGAACACTGGAGTTCTGTCAAGTGACCATCGGGTTCTTGGTCACCTCCCTGACCAATGCACTTCTCCCCCGATTGCTCAGTTTGGCCTGGTGGCCAGAGTCTTGATGGTTCCAAACTTCTTCCATTGAAGAATGATAGAGGCCGTTGGGTTCTTAGGGACCTTAAATGCTGCAGCAATCTTTTGGTACCCTTCCCCAGATCTGTGCCTTGACACAATCCTGTCCCGGCGCTCTACGGACAATTCCTTCAACCTCATGGCTTGGTTCTTGCTCTGACATGCACTGTCAACTGTGTGGACCTTATATAGACAGGTGTGTGCCTTTCCAAATCATGTCCAATCAATTGAATTTACCACAGGTGGACTCCAATCAAGTTGTTGAAACATCTCAAGGATGATCAATGGAAACAGGATGCAGCTGAGCTCAATTTCGAGTCTCATAGCAAAGGGTCTGAATACTTATGTAAATAAGAAATTTGTATTTTATCTTTTGCAAAAAAGTCTAAAAAACTGTTTTTGCTTTGTCATTATGGGGTATTGTGTGTAGATTGATGAGGGAAAAACACGATTTTATCAATTTTAAAATAAGGCTGTAACGTAACAAAATGTGAAAAAAGTCAAGGGGTCTGCATAATTTCCGAATGCAATGTAGATCTTTGGCTATTCCCCTGTACTGTTTACTGTATTCTGATGTGCACTCTCCAGGACCAGGGCTGGACACAACTTCAAAACACGAAATGGAAGAACCCCAAAATAGCCATAGCACTAGAGCAACAAGACCAGTGTTTATGTAGAAAATAAAAGGTGCTTTGCAACTAGGTGGATTTCAGGAAAAAACATAATAATGACATTAATCAATGACTGATTATTTTATGAGAGAATTTATGAGGAAATGTTGCAAATAATCCTACTGTTTGGTTATAAATCTGTAACGAGAGAAAGAATCAGATAAAACCAGTATTAAACAACCATTGTCTAAAGTATGTCTTATGAAAGAGATTACGCCACTATGTTTTACTTAAAAGATGTTAATAAGTTATGATATATAAATATCAATAACACTAACCCTATTTTTGTCTTAATGAAAAATAGTGGCTCTGGGGTGAAGTTTGCCCTAGGTACAGATCAATCATAATCATAACCATTAGTGGGGAAACGCTTAACTGACCCAAGATCAGAGTCTAAGGGCAACTTCTCCCTACACCAAAATAGTGAGGCAACAATCCTTTATGCTGTTGCCTTTACTTGTGCTGATCTTGTCTGTTTAAACTAACTTCATGCAAACTGCAGAGAGAAGACATTCTCTTTTACCAAACAACCTGGCCAGGGGGTGCTGTGGAGTATGTGGAGAAATGCTGGGATGTTGGCTGCTTTGCTTGTCCTGTGGGGTGGCGGTGGGGTCACTCGTAGAAGCGTGTTGTAGGGCCTAGCTTCAGTTTCTCACTCAGTTTCTGGATAAGAAAGGACAGCTCCTCTGTAGCCCGAGACTTGTCTTCCAGGAGTTCGTACCGTAGACTGGAGATGTCCTGCTTGATTTCTTTCAGCTCACCTGCAAAGTAATGTGTGGAGAAATAATGTAATTTATGTTCAAGTGGTTTGTATTGAAGAATTCAGTTTAAGTGTTTTCAAATGCAATATTCACTGCATGACAATGTTAAACTGATCTACTCTCCATAATTCAATATCTTTTTAAGTGCACAATGCAGTTAGCACGGTTTATTTTAGCTTCAAACGCCAATGAGAACCCTGTGGAATTCGCCCAGTTTGCAGACCTCTTCCTCCCCCAGAGAATTTTTTATTTGTGGTATTGTGTAACAACACTGCAACAGATTCTCAAAGACAATTTCAGATGAGGTACTTCAAAGTAAAAGTTAAGATGTAAGATTACCTTCATTGACCTCGTCGTTTTCTTTGTCCACTTGTGCTTTCAACACGTAGCGTTTGATGAGTCTTTTCATGATTTGCTGTAACAAGAAAGGAAAATGTCAAAAATGTAGGCCTATATGCTATTATGTTAATAATATGATTATTTTATGATATGAATATGATATTTTAGACTGATGGAGAGGTCACCTTACCTGATAGCGAGTGGGTTGATTCAGGATGCTGTTAAAACTGTGGGACTCTGCAATGCGCGGGTTGGACTGGGTGAAGAGATTGAGCTGCAAACACAGACAAGCACAAACACACACACATTTGGATGTTTTATCTGGATACTCAATCAACCATTATGAAAATAATAATTTTGTGATCAACTTTTTATTTAGTTTAGCCGGCCACCCAGATAGCTAGGTCCAATATATTTGTCCAGGCCTCAATTGCTCCTTGACTAGCACCATTCATTCTCGCTATCGATAATTCTAATGTTATAACTTATAATAGTAACTGTATCCACTGATTAAATGGGAGAGAGTGAGGTGATTACCATCTTAGAGTCAACATCCTTTTCGCAGCAGTGCTGCCTGCCAGCAGTAATCTTATCTGATTGATTGAGATATTCAAGAGGCTATCATCGTTAAGTAACATAATATATGGATTGCATTGAATATTTAAATTCATGCACTTCAATTTTTATTTGATTTATTTGCCCCAGAAGCATTTAACTGCAGGGCACTCCAACATCATATGAAGGAATGTGCCTACCTGATTTAGGGGACACAGTGAAGAGTTGGGAGTTGGGGCTAACGTTTCCTTGGTGTTAAATACAGTGAACAAACTTAAAATGTATACGTTTATGGTTCGGATTACGGGATGCCAAGGACATATTTTTCCAGATTCTGTTTCAGTTAAAGGGTTGTTCAATTTCAATTAGATCTGTAGACCATACTTTTTTAATGGCTAGCTCAGAATATGAGCTTTCCAAAAGTTATTTATATCTGTCACGCCCTGACTCAGGGGACGCTTATATGTTGAGTCAGGGTGTGTATTTTCCTTGTTGTGCGTTTTCTATGTTTGTGTTCTAGTATGTGTGGATCTATGTTGGCCGGTGTGGTTCCCAATCAGAGGCAGCTGTCGCTCGTTGTCTCTGATTGGGGTCCATACTTAGGCAGCCTATTGGCACTGTCTAGTTGTGGGATCTTGTTCCTTGTAAGGTATGTTGTGTGTTCTACCTTGGACGTCACGTTTCGGTTGTTGTTTTGTTGATAAGTTAATAAACATGTACGCATATCACGCTGCGCCTTGGTCTGACCCGTCATTCAACGAACGTGACAATATATTATAGAGATCAGTCCTTTCGGGAGCCCAGATAATTTATTTATAAATCCCATCATTAGATGGTTCGGTAGTTGGGTTTCCCAAGGGACTCCATAGGCCAGCATAGCTGATCTAAGTTGTAAATATAGAAAAAAGGAGTTGCCTGGTAATGTGCATGTATCTTTTAAATCTTGAAATGTTCTCATACCTTTAATGTCCATGATATCGGTAAGGGTACGGATTTCACATTTGGGGGGATGCAAAAGGCCACCCTCCAAATCGCAAGGCATTATTGTGAAATATTGGAGTATGGGCATGCCATTTTGATTCCCAGTTACATTGTTTTTCAATTTTGCGCCAAATAGAAATTGTGTGAGCAATAATAGGATAGTTTACATTGTTTAAGGGATATATCAGTGAATACAACCTCTTCCAGGGCAATAGGAGACACCATATTACCTTGTTTAAGGGATCTTTCAGTGAATACCACCTATTCCAGGGCAATAAGATACACCATATTTCTCTCTATACTCAGCCAGAGGGCAGAAGAATCATGTCTAAACCAATTTAGGATTGGGCGAAATGCTAGTGCCTGAAAATACAATTTAAAGTTTGGTATGGATATTCCTCTTACCTCTTTGTAAATGTATACATTTTATCCGGGATCGTTTACCTTGTCATATACATTTTTTAACTGCACTATGAATTTTATCCCAATACCCAGAAGGGGGAGCCATGGGTTGGTCCCATGTTTCATGAGCTGAAATAAAAAAATCCCTGAAAAGTTCCATACGTATAAAAAGCTTATATCTCTCAAATTATGAGCACAAATTTATTTACATCCCTGTTAGTGAGCATTTCTACTTTGCCAAGATAATCCATCCCCCTGACAGGTGTGGCATATCAAGAAGCTGATTAAACAGCATGATCATTACACAGGTGCACCTTGTACTGGGGATAATAAAAGTCCACTCTAAAATGTGCAGTTTTGTCCTTGATGTCTCAAGTTTTGAGGGAGCGTACAATTTGCCTGCTGACTACAGGAATGTCCACCAGAGTTGTTGCCAGATAATGTAATGTTAATTTCTCTCCCATAAGCCACCTCCAACGTAGTTTTTTAGAATTTAGCAGTACGTCAAACCGGCCTCACAACCGTAATGTAACCATGCCAGCCCAGGATCTCCACATCTGGCTTCTACTCCTGCGGGATTGTCTGACACCAGCCACCCGGACAGCTGATGAAACTGAGTTTGCACAACCAAAGAATTTCTGCACAAACTGTCAGAAACCGTCTCAGGGAAGCTCATCTGCGCGCTTGTCATCCTCACCAGGGTCTTGACCTGACTGCAGTTCGGCGTCTTAACTGACTTCAGTGTGCAAATACTCACCTTCAATGGCCACTGGCACCCTGGAGAAGTGTGCTCTTCATGGGTGAATCCCAGTTTCAACTGTACCGGGCAGATGGCAGACAGTGTGTATGGCGTCGTGTGGGCGAGCGGTTTGCTAATGTCAACGTTGTGAACAGAGTGCCCCATGGTGGCGGTTGGGTTATGGTATGGGCAGGCATCAGCTATGGACAATGAACACAATTGATTTTGATCAATGGCAATTTCAACGCACAGAGACACTGTGAGGAGATCCTGAGGCCCATTGTCTTGCCATTCAACCACCGCATACATGTCACCCATTGAGCATGTTTGGGATGCTCTGGATCGACGTGTACGACAGCGTGTTCCAGGTCCCGCCAATATCCAGCAACTTCGCACAGCCATTAAAGAGGAGTGGGACAACATTCCACAGGCCACAATCAAAAGCCTGAACAACTCTATGCAAAGGAGATGTCTCGCGCTGCATGAGACAAATGGTGGTCACACCAGATACTGACTGGTTTTCAGATCTACCTTTTTTCAAAGGTATCTGTGACTAACAGATGCATATCTGTATTCCCAGTCATGTGAAATCCATAGATTAGGGCCTAATGAATTGATTTCAATTGACTGATTTTCTTATTGTCTCGTTCGTTGTGTAAAGGATCGGACCAAGGTGCAGCGTGGTATGCGTACATAGTTGTTTATTTTAATAAACACCGACAAAATAACAAAATCCAACAGAACGTGAAGTTCAAGAGCCTAAACATCAAACAAGCCAAACAGAAACAAGATCCCACAACTAAGGTAGGCAACATGGCTGCCTAAGTATGATCCCCAATCAGAGACAACGACCGACAGCTGCCTCTGATTGGGAACCACACCCAGCCAACATAGAAATATATAAACTAGATTTCACACCCTGACCAACTCAACTAGAGATCTCAATGTCAGGGCGTGACATTACCTATCCCCCCCACCCCAGTTGCGGACTCCGGCCGCAAAAACCTGACTCATTAGGGGAGGGTCCGGGTGGGCATCTAGCCTCGGTGGCGGCTCCGGCTCCGGCTGTGACGTAGGCAGTAAACTCTTCTCCCATCCTGCCTCCCCTTTGCAAGCCCGGTCCGATCTGGACCCCGGCGCGATGCTCCCCCTCTCAGTCCTCCCACAATGCACCAAGCCCTGTCTGGACCCTGGTGTGGGAGCCCTCGACCCTGGAGAGGGGCTGACGTCTGGTCCCAGCCCAACAGTCCTCCTGCAATGTGCCTAGTCCTGTCTGGACCCTGGTGTGGGAGACCCCGACCCTGGAGAGGGGTTGACGTCTAGCTCCGGCTTGGACCCCTGTGGAGCGGATGGCTCCGGCATGAGGGAAGAGTAGACGACCGGACCCGGACTCGGCACCGGTGGAGCGGACTGCCCCGGCTCTGGTAGGGAGCAGATAACCGGAGCTGGATTAGGCACCAGTGGAGCGAACTGCTCTGGCACTGGAGTGAAGCAGCTGACCGGAGCTGGACTAGGCACCGGTGGAGCGGACTGCTCTGGCACTGGAGTGGAGCAGCTGACCGGAGCTGGACTAGGCTCCGGTGGAGCGGACTGCTCTGGCACAGGAGTGAAGCAGCTGACCGGAGCTGGACTAGGCACCGGTGGAGCGGACTGCTCTGGCACTGGAGGCTTCGTGCCATGGATCATCACTGGAGGCTTCGTGCCATGGATCATCAATGGAGGCTTCGTGCCATGGATCATCAATGGAGGCTTCGTGCCATGGATCATCACTGGAGCCCGGCAAGTGCGGGGCGCTGGCCCATGACACACTGGGCTGTGGACAGGCACGGGCCGTACCAGGCTGGGGACACGCACCACTGGTTTGGTGCGAGGAGCAGGTACGGGCCGTACCGGACTGGAGACACGCACCACTGGTTTGGTGCGAGGAGCAGGTACGGGGCGCACCGGGCTGGAGACACACACCACTGGTTTGGTGCGAGAAGCAGGTACGGGGCGCACCGGGCTGGAGACACGCACCACTGGTTTGGTGCGAGGAGCAGGCATGGGCCGTACCAGGCATGGGACACGCACCACTGGTTTGGTGCGAGGAGCAGGCACGGGCCGTACCGGTCTGTGAAGGCGCACTGACGGCACAGTGCGTAAAGCCGGCGCATAGCCTGGTGCCTGAACGGTCACACGCTCCTCAAAGCGAGTGCAGGGAGTTGGCTCTGCTAAACTTGGCTCCGCCAGCCTCTGCTCTAAGGACCGAGCTCTTTGCTGCTGGAGGGTTAACTCCTCTCTCAGCTCCTCCTGTTGCCTGGCCAGCTCCTCTCTCCGTGCATCCACTGACTCCTTCTCCCTGTGAGCCTCCTGCAGCGCCTCCTTCTGAAGAGAGAGCATCTGCTCCCTCTTAACTAACAGCTCCCGTAAGGCGGTGGTCTCCTCTCTCAGAGTACTGAGCTGCAGGTCTTGGAGGGCATCTATCATAGCGGCTTCTTTTATCGCTATCTCCCTCTCCACAATCAGCCCTTCCAGGGCCTCCTGCTGCTCCGCCAACCACCCCCGTGGCTGCCTGGGCTTCTTCCTTCGCCCAGAGTCCCTTACCGGCCAATATCTCC